AGGTGGGAGGGGTTGCAGTTAGTGGATGGGGAGGCTGTGGGGATAAAGGGGCACAAAAATTTTCAAGCTTAGTATAAGCTGGCCACAGGGATAGTGGTACAGCATGGAAAACATAATCAACGAGTCCGTAACATCTTTCTCTGTTGACAGATAGTAACTGCACTAGTCGGGGTGAGGATTTAGTAATATGGGAAATTGTTGAACCACTTTGTTTTATATTTGAAACCAATATAAGATTGTAGATCAATAATACTTCAATAAAAAACTTTTTTATAGAATTCAAATTGACATACAGTCAGATGCACAGATACTAAATGTACAGTTCAATGAGCTTTGACAATTCAACAACCCAAGTAACCACTGCCTAGCCATAGACCAGCACTGTTCAGTAGGACTTTCTACGATGGTGGTAATGTTCTGTATCTGTGTTGTCTGATATAGTGACCACTGCCCACATGTGATTTTTTGAGCATTTGAAATATGGCTAGTCTGACTAAGGAACTTAATTGTAAAGTTTATTTAATTATAAGCAATTTAAATTTCATTTCATATGGCCACATTTGCTAGTGGTTGCAGTATGGGACAGTGCAGCCATAGATAGTTTTTCTCAGCTAGGGTTCTGGGAGGGAATCGAATCCTAATGCTGATGGCATATATTATTTCTAGTGAATTAACTTACCTTCTGTGTATCTAGGATGGTACTAGCTGTATACTATTCTTAGGAGAATTAGGAAAATAGTTACTCAAATTGTTTTCTGTAAGGCATAATTCTCTCACAGCATTCAGTTGAGAAAGACTGTCCTAGAAAGTTTCCCTGTTTCCCTTTCCAGTCAATACCAGTACTTAACGACAACCATGATTCTTTTATTTCCACAAATTATTTTTGCCTGTTCTTGAACTTCATATAAATGGAAATATACAATGCATTTTCTTTTGTGACTGTCTTCTGTCACTTAGCATAATGCTGTGTGTATTAATAGTACATTCCTTTATACCATGTAATACATGTAGTGTTATCAACATGCCAAAATATATTTATGTGTCCATTTCATTTAAATGTCAAATTCATTGGCATAAAATTTTTCATAACATCTTATTATCCCTTTAATGTCTGTAGTACCTATAATGATGTCATCCTTTCATTTTTGATGTTGGCAATTGGTCTTTCTACGATCTTATCAATTTTATTAAAGATACAACTTTGACATTCTTTATTTTCTTTATTTTTTAAATTTTACGTCTGCTTTATTTTTCTTTATTTTATGTCTGCTTTCATCTTTATAATAATATCTTTCCTTCTACTTATTTTTAAACTAAAATCCATTAACACTAAATCTTGTTTTCTCCTAACACTTCATTTATCATATAAATTCTTAGCTGTGTTTAAATATCAATTTTTTTGCATTTTTACAATTGATTCTACAGACATTCTTTGAGCATCTGTCTACTCCATGGAAGGTACTGAGAATAAAAACAGTGAACAAGATAGACATAATCCTTGTCCTTTTGCATTAAAAAATTTGTTGAGTAGGTGGATATTGGAAAATAAATGGCAAGGGTGATAAGTAGCAAGATGGAGAATGGCAGAGAAATCTGGGTGTTTATAACAGAGGACTTACATACACATGGGGTTTGGGAAAAGCATCCTGAGGTAATTCAGCTTGACTTCAGGCACAAGCATGACTAGGAGTTAGCCAGATGAGGGGGAGGAGGTGCGTATCTGTGTTGTCCAATATAGTGGCCATTACCTACATGCGATTTTTTTGAACATTTGATATGTGACTAGTCTAAGGAACTTAATTTTAAATTTTATTTAATTTTAAATAATTTCAATTTAAGTATTAAGAAAGAGCATGGTGTGGTTGAGGAATTAAGGAAGGCCAATGTCGATGGGATGGGGAAATGAGAGAGAACTACAGTTTGGGATGAAGGTTTAGAAGGAGACAGGGCAGGATCATATAGTCATATATAGGCCATGTGGATAAATTTAGGTATATCTTAACTAAAGGTTATGGAAAAATCTTTGAGGACTTCTAAGCTGAGGAAATACATCTGGTTTGCACTTCACAAATATCACCGTGGTTATTGTGGATATGTGCTGGGTACAGACAGAAGGCAAATATTGATGAATAAAGACTAAATGGGAAGCAATGCAGGTGAGAAATGATGTGATATGGAATAGAGTAGCTTCAAAATCCTTTTCTGTAATTTCAGCTTTGCCCTAGTAGTTAATTTCTGTTAAAATGGAACTTGAAGTGATGTTAATACCATGATTATTATAAAAGGTTTCCTTTGAGTTGATACTCCTTTAGAGCAAGATATACTGAGAAGTATATTACTTTCATCTTGTAACTGTTGAATGTACAGTGTTCGAATACAAGAAAACACTTTTATTCTGTATTGTGACAAGGTAGACTAAGTGACTGCAGAATGTAGGTCACCTATAAAACTCAACTTTATGTATGAAGAAGACTTCTGAAATACAAAAAAGAGGAAAACAACTCCATTCTGTATTGGCAATCTTACTAAATTGTGTAATTTTTCTGACAGCTTCACTTTTATATGAAATTTTGAACACTTAAAGTTGAAAAGGAAAGTTTGTTAGTGTCTTAAATAATAAAACTAGCTTTTTCAAATAAGTGTTTAATGTGAATTTAAGCATTAACCTAATTTTTCAAACTGTCAAGATTCAATATTTATACTGGTCCAAAATTCAGTTACTCATGCATATACCTTAAGTGTCTGTATCCCTCAATCATCGATCTCTCTGTCATCTACTTGTCAGAAGTTTGTAATTAATAATTATTTAATAATTTTTTCTGAGGAGAAATAAGATTTTAGCAATATCTTTACATTTTAAAAGTTGCTTTTAATTAACTTTGTGACTTCAACAATTTTATTTTACTGGTTTGTTTAAATAGAAAATAATACCATTTGAATGACTATATTTTCCTTTTTGAATATAAATTGGGAATATCTAGCTCATCTTCATTTAGAAGAAAGGAAGTTAAATAGATTACTTTTTCATTGGGATTTACCATCATCAATATATTACAGCATAGACTAAGTGGTCAGTTTGGTCTAAAAATAAGCCATCTAAAAGACTTTGGTATAATCAAAGGTATTATTGACTACCCTGATTTTGAAAGATAAATAATCTTGTAAAATTGTCCCATTTTCTAGAGAATTTGTCGGCATGTTTGGATTAATAGCAGAATAATGCCAAATTTATTTTCAGATTTTGGAGATGAAATATTGAAAAGCAATTTAAAAATCTTTAATATTGCTTTCTGAAATATCTAGGTTAATGTATTAGTTTGATTATTAGTGAAAGACATAGCATCTTCTTTTAGAAAACAGTTTGCTGGATTTTGTATACTCTTTGAATACAGAAGCGAGGTACATCTTTCCTTTTATGACTACAATGTAGAACTGCATTCCTGGGGTGTTTGATATTACTAATATTTTCTAACTCGGTGTTTCCTAAATTCTGTTCCACAGGGATACATTTTCACTATAATATAAAACATATAGTTCATAATATAGTGAGAAAAATAAAGATGATATTGTATACTTTGCATAATAATGAATATTTAATTTTATGAAGTATCCCTTATTTTGAGATTATCCTTTTCTTATTGTTATGAATTTCCATTGTCCTTTTATTTATAAATTATGGAAATAATAGGTTGTGATTTTAGAAGGCATTGATTTTAAAAGGTACACTTACTTGGCCAAATAAAATGTCTGCAACACTTTCTTGGACCCCTAAGTATTTAATTTTGGAATTTTACTAGTCCTTCAAATTTAGAGGTCCAAGAACCACTAATTCAATTAATATCTAGTTCTTAAACGGCCTTTAAACAAGAAAAAAAATCCAAAAAGCTCACTTAGAGAAAATCTGACTTAATGATAAAAACTTAATTCCTCTATTTGAAAATAAATGTTCTATTTTGATTTTTGTAATTATGGATCCTCACTTTTAACCATAAATACCCTCAGGAAGAGAGGCCAGTTGTCTGTACTGATGAAGCTTTTCATTAGAGTTCTGGATTTCATTGATATGGTCAACTTTTTTTTTTTTAATTTATGTGCGGTTAATTGAACTAATACTTTTTAGTCCATGACTTGTGTTTTCTCATTGATCCACACAAGGCTAGTTCATAATACAGTGAGAAAAATAAGGATAATATTATTTCCTTCTTTTTTTTTGTCTCTTGTACCTTACTTTCATTTTCTCCTCTTTGGAAACTATTTAAATGTTTTTAATCTGTATATTTTATGATTTTATGAGAATGAATATGAACACTATACTATAGAAGATTATACAATATGACTTGAAAAAAAGGGATTGAAATAATTTATCTGTCATATCACTTGAAGAAATGACTTTTCATATCTAATAATGTCTCATTGTGAAGCATTGTTTTTGGAAATTATCAATGATGCATGATCCTACTGCTTAATTACTGGCTAATTTTGGCTTATCTTTCGATGGATATTACTAGGTTATTTTTGTTTATTTACTCCAGGTCAGGGAATGCAAATACACTTTATCTCAACTATCACCTACTACTGTTCAATTAGTAGTAGCTGTTGGAGCACTGAGTTGAGAAGAATTATGAATTTACCCAGGTCATTAGGAAAGACTATCTCATATAAACATGGGGCTGGTGTAGATAGAAACATGCCAACCACATACCTGTCATCTTGCTGAAGGCAGTTATCTTTAGTGCTCTATAGAGATATGTTGGGGTGTAAATGAATGTTGGTAATTAGTAAAACATAAGTGAACAAGGAAAGGCCTAGAATACAAAGTGGGATTCTTCCTAAGTTGGCTATTTTGGAATACATCATTCTTTACATTACTTTATTAAGAATATAATTGTATATTTTTAGCATTAGCTCTGTTAATGTCTATGACATCATGATATTATGGCCTACACATTCCTATTCTATGTTATACATTTTGACACTATTTCTGTATCTTTTTTTTTTAGGCACTATTATTGAAGAGCTTTCAACCACTTTGGATGATGCCAAGGATATATTTCGCTAAAACAGTGATTACACTTTTGGACCTTTGCCTTGTAAAATGGAAAACATAAAATATATGGTAAGTTTATTAAATTATTATCCAGCCTTTTCTTCAGTTATTCCTTTTGTATTTAAAGAATAAGGTATTGGCTTGGAATGATGACATTCTGTTTGTGAATAATCTCACTTGCTGTTTCCTGGCTCCCTTCAAATGATAATTCGTCATCTTCATTGGTCTTTCCTACATTAAATATAACAGTAGTCACTTTACAATTTCATACTTTGCTTTTTGTTAATGATGTTGTCCATGTTTTAGGTTATTTGTTTTTGGTCTTACTTAAATTTTATAACAATTTCAACCTGAATAGAAAGAGAAACAACTATCTCTATATTTTAGAAGTATCCATGTATATTGTTTATGTTATTAAATGTTAGATCATATTACCTTTTCAAATTATACAGCTAATTTGGGTTTTGTTACAAATATTAGAAGGATAAATTTTGCCGTAAGTCTCTCATTACATGTTTTTCTGCATGGAGATTTTCATATACATCAATACAAGTCTTTACCTATTATAATCCTATTGTCAGTTCTTTATATGACTCTTTAGCTTGTGATAAACACCTTGAGAAGTATTTGCCATCCTAGTGTCTACATGACTGTAAGAAAATAAGCTCTACAGTATTCCTCATGATGTGGATTTATTTTTTGCCTCGGGTAATACAAATATCGATAAGCATCTTTCACAGATAACTTTTGTCCCCATTCTACATTCCACTTTATATATGTATGAAATTAACTTTGTAATGAGAAAGTTACTCTTATTTTGTAATCAGGATAGTTAGTTGTAGGCACTTGTACTCACTCTTCCTAGTTTAAACAGCAAAGGATTTATTCAGGGTTATTAGTGACTTCACAAGATCACTGGGAGAGCTGAAATAACAGCTCTCCAAAGAATTAAACTGCTAAAGGAACTGGGACATTCAACAAGTCAAATGCCCTGAGTTCTTTGACAGGTTGTAAGGAGAAGAAAGGCATGAAGGAGGAACCTATTGATTAAAAAAAAAAAAAACCTTAAAAGACACAGCAAATTTTAAAAGGTGGCCAAGATTAAACTACAGTTTCTGGTTATGTATACTGTTAAAAGATAAACTGAGGCATTTAATAATACTAAGAGTTTCTTAGCAAAAATCCATTCAAATTGGGCAGTGTTAAATGGCAAGTAGTTAGGAGCACTACAGCAATGGGTGTTGGAGGAGAGATGTTTGTAGAGAAAAGGCATAAGAAAAGTAAGAAGATTATTGATTGGCTAGCACTTAAAGCCCAGCTGGCTGTTTGTGATTATGTTATGTTTCAATTTTGTAAACTTTAGGTATTTACAGTATTATAAAAATTAACTACTGCACCTGAGGAAACCCATCCTCATATGGACTTGATTTAGATGATGAGATTCTGGACTTTAACATGATCCTGTGGTAGGATGAGGATTTGGTGGACTTTGGGAAGGGATGAGTGTATTTTGCATGTGGGAGGGATGTGAATCTGTGGGGCCCAGAGAATAAACTCTGATAGGCAGCTTCTAAAATGACTTCCAATGATCTCTGTCTTCTGATATCCATACCCTGTGTAATCCCTTCCTTTTGAAAGTAGGAATAGAATATGGCAAAAATGATGGATGTCACTTTCTAGGTGAGTTTACAAAAGACTGTGACTTCTGTCTTACTTAATCTGCAAAATTCTTTTCAAGTTTTCCTAATGGTAATAGTTTATAATATGTTAGTCTTTAATAATAGTTAGCAAAAGGTGAAATTTACCATTTGCTTTGGGCTACATTCTTAAAAACCTGACTTGAGGGAGACTGGGCTCACCTGTCCAGTGTGCTTGGGGCCACAGCAGGCTTTACCCTGAATGGAGCTTGAATTCTCTCTTGTGGCCTACCTTAACCAGAAACATATCAGAAGGGGGACTCTGGGAATGTAATTCAGCCTAGCCAAGTACAAAGCCACCAAAATTACTCAGGATACAATTTGTTTATAACCGACAAGATAAATATATGTTTCTTTCCTTTAATTTATCAGTTTTCAAAATAATAATTGCTTCCTTATTATCCCCTGCAGCTAAATGTTTTTTAATTAACTTTTTATTTTAGAACAGTTTTAGATACACAGAAAATTTAATGAAATTATTACAGAGAGTTTCCACAGACCCATATATATCCTGTTTCTCTCATTATTAGCATTTTATATCATGATGGTATATTATAATTAATGAATCAATATCGAAATTTTATTATCAGATAAAGTACACATTTTATTCATATTTCCTTTTGTTCTTTTTCTATTCAGGAGCTCATTCAAGATACACATTACATTTAGTCATACTGTCTCCTTAGGCTCCTCTTGGCTGTGATGGATTCCAAGACTTTCCTTATTTTTAATGACTTTAACTATTTTGAAAAGTACTGGCCAAATATTTTCTGGAATGTCCATCAGTTGGGGTTTGCAGTATGTTTTTCTTATGGTTAGACAGGGTTTAAGTGTTTATGAAGGAAGTTCACAGAATTAAAGTGCCATTTTCATTAAATCATATTCAGGTACATATTATCAACATTACTTATTAACAAAAGGTCTACTGTTGACCTTGATCACCTAGCTGAGATAGTGTTTGTCAGGTTTCCCCACCATAAAGCTACTCTTTCTTCCTCTTCCTGTACTGTATTCCTTGGTAGGAAGTCACTATATGCAGTCCACCCTTAAGGAGAGGGAGTTATGCTCTGAGCAGTGGAGTATTTACATAAATTATTTGGAATTCTGTATCAGTGATTGGTTCATTTTCCTCCACTTATTTATTTACTCAATCATTTACTTAGATCAGTATAAAATCATGAATATTTACTTTATGCTTTGGTTATAGTGCACTACTACTTTATTTTATTCAAATTATTACAGCTTTGGTCACTGGTTCTTCAAGTTGATTCTTGTGTCTCTTTGACATAGCTACATTATTGTGTGTGTGTGTGTGTGTGGTGGGGGTGGGGGCGCATGTGTGCATTAATTTATGTTAAGCTAAATACCAGTATGCTGATGTCTCAGACTCTAACCCTTTGCCACATGGGTATTCTAGACTCCTCCCCTTGTTGTATGTAACCTACCACTCTAGCAATGAGAAACCTGGCTAATGCCATCTACCACCCATTTACTTACTATATACCAGTATGCATGCATAGCAATATAAGAAATGTTAAGCCATACCCTTTTGGGATATCGCTTTATCAGCTGGAACAGAAATGCTAACATACAGTTGTGTTTTTTTTGAGGATTTTTAAAAGTTTTACAGACTACTCATTTCCAAAGTTACTTAGGTCAGCACTTTTTCACCAACCCCTTCAGTGAAATTGTTTCACACTACATTTGTAATGTAGTTAGGTTCTTTTGTCACATCTGTATTCTTTCCTGGGGTCACATGACTTCCTAAATTATTTTTCAAAAAATTCACATATACTAAGGATCACTTTGTGCTGAACACTTCACAAAAGTTTAATAAATGCTTAGTGTCTTATTTTCGTCATTACAGTATCATACAGAATAGTTTCACCTATTTAACCATCCTCACCCACTTGGACTTCTGACAACTACTAATATGGTTTTCACCTCCATAGTTCTGTCTTTTCAAGGTTGTCATATAAATAGAATCAAAATGTATGTGACCTTTTTAGACTGGTTTCTTTCAAGTAGTGACACATATTTAAGATTCATCCATAACTTTCACTCAGTAATATCCCATTCTATATATGTACCAGGTTTTTTATACATTCACTTATTGAAAACCATCTTGGTTGCTTACAGTTTTTGATGATTATTAATTACACTGATATAAACATTTGCTTGCACATTTTTATGTGGAGGTGTTTTCAAATCAGTAGGGTAAATAACCAGGAGTAATTGCTAGATTATATTGTAATACTATGTTTAACTTTAAAAAAAATTTAGGTATAATTGACATATAACATTTTATTAATGTCTGATATACAATGTAATGATTCAATATTTGTAAATGTGAAATGATTGCCACAGTAAATCTAGTGAACATCCATTACCATACATATTTACAATTTTTGTCTTGTAATGAAAACTTTTAAGATTTACTGTCTTAGAGTTTCAAATATACAATACAGTATTATTAAAATGTCATCATGCTGTACATTATGTCACCATGACTTACTTATTTTTTTTATACCTTGAAGTTTTTACTTTTTAGCCTCCTTCACCTATTTGCCTGCACCCTGCTCCCCACCTCTGACAACCACTGATCTGTTCTCTGTATTCATGAGCTTTTTTTTTAAGACTACAATAAAAGTGAGATCATATGGTAACTGTATTTCTCTGTCTGACTTATTTCGCTTAGCATAGTATTCTCAAGTTCCATCCATTTTGTTGCAAATGGCAAGATTTCCTTCTTTTTTATGGCTGAATAATATTCCATTGTATATATCACATCTTCTTTATCCATACATCCATCAATGAACACTTAGGTTGCTCCCCTGTTTTGGCTATTGTAAATAATGAACATGGGGATGCATATATCTTTTCAAATTAGTGTTTTCATTTTCATTGGATAAATGTCCAGAAGTGGAATTGCTGAATCATATGGTAGTTCTATTTTTAATGTTTTGAGGAACCTTAATGCTGTTTTCCACAGTGGCTGTCCCAATTTACATTTGCATCAGCAATGCACAAAGGTTCCCCTTTCTTCACATCCTTGCCAGCACTTGTTACTTCTTGTCTTTTTGATAATAGACATTCTAATAGGTGTAAGGTGGTATCTCATTGTGGTTTTGATTTGCATTTCTCTGATGATTTGTGATGTTAAGCACCTTTACCTTGTACCTGTTGGCCATCTGTATGTCTTCTTTGTAAAATCTTTATTTGGGTAGTCTGTCCATTTTTTAGCCAGTCTTTTTTTTTGTCTACTGAGTTGCTTAGTTTAACTTTGTAAGAAACTGCCAAAATATCTTCCTAAAAGGTTGTACCATTTTGCTTATATTATTGCTATATGCAGTAAGGGATATAGTCTATCCA